TCTGTAAAGAAAATGTTGTTAAAGGCAGAACAGGAAACCCTAGGGAGCATTTTCAAGACAAACCAAGTAAGTTAGGAACTCTGCTGCATTAACATTTGTTAAAGTTTGAAAACATTTGTCAAAGTTTGAAAACATTTGTCCTCAGTATTTGCCTATGCATACTGAACCCGAGACACACATTACCCTTAAATAGCATGTATTTTAATCCCACCATGCAGAGAACAGGAATCCTACTAAAATAAGAGTATGTTTTTGTGCTACACTGTTGTAACAACAAACATCATTGTTTGAAACAAAGCTTTGTTCTAAAGGTAGAAGTCCAGTTTAGGGGAGAATAAATAGCTGTACCTGATGCACCAGGTCATCAGAACCGACAGGCATTTCAGATGCTCCCAAAGTGGGTGGGAAACCACTTCAGCCAGGTCTGTCTGTGCTTACCTGTCTCAGTCCACAGTGGAGCTCTAAGCAAAACACCGTGTAGCTCAACAAAGATGGTCCGTGAGCCACATGCACTTGAACTGCACACCGGGCAAACGGGGAGGGTGGGAATTTCCTGCTGTGGGATCTCTCTCACATCACTGACGTTACACATACTTCTTTTTCTGCAGAGCTGAATAAAAGGGCACAAAACCCACCAGTTGATTCAGTTGTGATTCCACCTGTCCTGAAGGAATACAAAGGAAATAGGCTTTATTCTGAATTTTATATGACAAGAGTTTGTGCTCATGTAGTTAAACTGTTACACGGTTACACTTAATTCTTTACAAGGTCCCATGTCATTTGTCATCTGAAGCAATGTGAAGAGCAGGCAGACTACGTCGACTGGACATTTAGGAGTGTATCAGGCACCTAGTTTATATCTCAGACCCTGTGAATGAAGCACTGCTTCCTGTGCCCCTGCTTTTCTCTCCATCTTTCTCAGTCTAGATTGCAAGGTCTATAGGCAAGTATCATTTGCTCTGGCACCTGAAACAGTGCCTACTCTGCTAGCTGTACAGCACCACAAATAACATTGGCGTCTGGAGGAACTTCCCTGAGTAGATGTCACTTGTTCCTGTCAAGGTATGACAAAATACGGGTTCTTTTTTTACGTGGGAGGTTTTCTCTTCAAACCAATGAGTTAAAAATCTTCCCATACACCTAAACCTCTGAAAGATAAGAGAAGAGAGAACAGCTCCTCACCTGGACTGGTTTGATCTCAGAATTGTTACGTCTGTATGACTATCAGCTTTACTCCTGGGAGAAAGAATGTCCAGTCAAAAATACTCATCTGCTAGTCAAACCAAAACTGACTGCATCAGCGCCATGGTCTTTGTTAGTGCTGCTGGATGATAATGCCAAGTTTTCATTTTCATTTAACAGTTTTCCCACGAAACAAGGAACAGCAATGTCAGCTCACTTCCACATTTCGGATTTTAACCACAGAGCATCTGTGAGAGCACTTCTTACATTCTTTCCATGAGTGCTGAAATAGCCTGCGGTAGATTAGGAAGTGTCATTTCTCCAGGTGTTTGTAGCAGTCTGATGAGCTGTGCAGTTAGTAGGTTACTGGGCAGGCAGTAGTATTCCCTCAACAATATTATTTCCAACTATTTCCATTTATTTTTACAGCATATACCTAAAGGTCCACAGTGTTAAACTGCAAATCTTGGTTGAGAATTTAAGAATAAAAGGAGGACTTGGTTAACAGTCCTAAAGAAAAAACTCTTTTTTTTTGCTCACAGAACCAAATGCAAAGCAGACAGTAAGATGGAGACTCTTTAATACCCCATCAGCCCAAGACATTTCAACTTTTGCCTTCCTTTAAAAAGTGGTAAGAGCTATGAAATTTATGCAGTTCCTGGATTCTCTGCTGAAACTGTCACAGGAGAAAATAGGAGAGATCTGCTCCTGCTGTTTTTTTTCAGTGAAAAAGAACTGCCAACAGAAGTGAGAAACATCCCAGGTACCTGACTTCAGATACAGCAGTGAGCTCTATCAGTATTTTCCTCACTGTTTAAAAAATAAGGGTAAGGTAGTAGGGAGACTTCAGGATGCCTTAAAATTCTAGTCAATTCATTTAACAGCTGCAGGAGAGATGTGAGAAAACAAGTAGAAGGGCCAGAAAGCTGGAGACTGAGGGTTGATTTGCACCTCCTTGTCCCCGCAGCCTGAGAGCTGAGTGGCAGGCAGCACCAGGTGGACCTTGTAAAGCTGATGTTCCAGCTCTTTCCTCTGCTAATTGGAGTGCCAAAGGTCATTTAGCAAGTCCTCCTCAGAGGAACAGCTAAAATAGCTTTTGTCATCCTGTGCTTTCTCTACCAGAGAGGACTAGAAGGTATTTTTCCATATGTTGTTGTAAGTATAAGGTCTTGAACTGTTTTTTTTTTTTTAATGGGGAATTACAAGCAACATTCGATTCTTTAATGAAGGGTTACTTATATCTGCTTGAAAGCTCTTGTGCGCTTGGAGAACATGCTTAACTGCAATGTTATTAAGTTTTTCTTCTGAAAGGCATTCTGTATCTCTAACATGGGAGAGTGCTTCAACTCCCTGGAATTTATTTTTAAGAAGAAAATCTTTTAAATCAGCCATAATAATAAAACATAGCTTCTTCTCTAAAATCATTCTGAGATTATTACTATAGTTTTTAATTATTTTTTAAGTATTCCTGTGTCTAAGGACATATTCATTAAGGTAAATATTACTACTCACAGAAACAATGGTAGAAAAATAACCTTGGAGATCTTGACTCTGCATATATAAAACCAAGCTGCTGGTATGGAGGAAGCTTGTAATAAACCCCTTTACGTAAAACATTGACTATTGCAATCTGGACTAATAAATACTTACATGTGATTTTCCTCTTCACAAGATTATGCAAGTGGTAGATCTTATGTTAAATGCTAATGAGTCATATTTAGAGAAAAGAACTAATTTTTCTACCTAAAAGAAAAGCAGGGAGCTTACTTCTTGGGGAACTTGCTTCATTTTGTTTCTTGCTGCACAGTTTGAGTAAAAGGACACAGTTCAGTGAAGTCTACATCCTTCTGGGGCAAGCTGGTATTTGTACTGTGCAGGGGGAAATCCCTTCAGGGTCAAGCATTCTGGTGCTTTGCTCCTGAATGGGCAACTGTGTCAGTCCCTCTCACATGCATGCACCATATTGTGAGCTCTAGGTATAAAGCTGTTGTTTAAGTTTCCTCTCCCTCTACTCCTAACAGAAGTCTGATCTGTGATGGTGCTACTCTGGTAGGCTGGCTACAACTAAAACCCAATCTTGGAGGCTCTGAGGATGGCTGTTGCCAGTCATGTAGTTATACAGTTAACATACACTGGACTTCTCATTGCTTCCCTGCTGCTTACTTTAAAGCAAGTGTTGTCTTTTCTGCCTATTTTGGGTTTTGTTTTTGGACGTTGTATATGACCTTGTGGAGAGAAGCAATACAGTGTATCTTCAGAGCTGAGGAGTTGAAAGTGATATAGTGGTGGAAGGTAGGTTTGTAGCTGCAATATTGGGTGTTACTAAATGTCGCTTAAAATCTGATTCTTGGGAGCTTTAGCTAGCTTATCTAGTAGATTATTTATTTATTGTTTAATAATATATCACTTATAATCATCTGTCACAGCTAATTTCCAGTAGTATTGCTTGTTTCCCTCTTGTTTTTGTCCAATGACAACAATTCAGTCCAGCTGCTGATCCCTGTCACAGAGCTCTGTTCAGGTCCAGTTGCATTCACTGAGTGACACTGGCTGGTGGACGGCCTTTCCCAGTGCTGTTTCAGCAGATGCTTTTTTTGGGGTGAGAAACTGTGAGTGAAGTCCACAGTGGGACAGTGTCAGATAAAAGCTCCCAAATACTCAGATCATAGAAGGTGGTTGCAAATTGTAGGGTAGAGATGGATACCTTACTTGAAATATGGCTTTATCCCTGCAAAATGCATCTCCACTGCCTTGGTCACACGCACGTGGTTATCTTATTGGAAATAGCTTTTAAAATATTGACTTGGACAATAGATAAGAATACAAGTGAAGTGCCTCTGTAGAGCATGTTTCTTGGGTAAGCCCCTGTGTGGTAGAATGACAGCTGTAGTTGTGGCTAATTAGTAAAAGAAACAAGTGGAGTTTGTTTTTTTGTTCTTGTACACTCACTTAAATGCTGAAACTCTTGTTGCGCTTGCTTTTCCTGCCTCCCCACACGCCCCCAGCTTGGTGCCCACAAAGAGCAAGCCCAGAAAGACAAACTAATATTTTTCTGAAAGTAAGCTTCGATTAAAACCTGGCTTCTGAAACCTGTCACGAGATGGTGTCAAGAAAGCTGCATGCTCAGAATACTTCAACTGGCTTGTGTAGCTGTGGCTGCAGGGTTTTTAACTGGGAGGCCACAGAAAGAGATTAGAAACTGATAATGTCCACAGCTGTAGGAGATACATTCGGTAAATAGCTCAATTATTGTTGGTGTTGGACCTAAGCAAAAAGCCATGGAACCAGGGAAGGAAGTACATGCTACAGAAGTAATCAGAAGTAATAGCTACGAGAGTTATGTGAGGTTTTTGTTTCTTTTTAATGAACGCTTTTTATATAAAAAAAAGAAATACCCTATTTGGGATAAATTAGTCGAAGTAATATTGCTTAGTTCTTCCTTTAATCTAAAAAGATGGTCAGCTGCTAGTTTGCAGAGAGTTCTTCAGCTTTTATTTTTGTTCCACCCCCCACCCCAACATGGCTGTTGTATTTAAGAATAAGCAATGAGATTTCAGAAAGTATTTATTTCTTTTTTCCCCACCTTTACCAAATCCATATCACTTCTATTTCCCTGGAGAACTAAACATCATGATTGAAGGTTTCTGTCGCAGCTAGTATGTGGACCAAGGATTTTCAAACCACTTGATACCAAAGCTCCAAGTTCTCTGCTGAACAGAAAAATTGGTGATGCAAAGAATGTGTGCATGTTGATCATCCTGACTCTTATATCTTGTCCCTATTCTTTCCAGGTACTTTGTGAGAGAGGGTAATTGATAATGTCTTCAGAACATGGAGCTAACAAACGGCATCATAACCCAGTGGACAGTATATGCAGAAAGATCAAATCTATCCAAATGATGGACCAAGTTTCTAACCCTGCTTTGCAGATACCAAAATTTCAGTCCCGGAACTTTGACAGTCCACAATGCAATATCAAAAAAAATCTAGAAGAAATACTGAAGAAAAGAACTTTTAAAAGTCATGATAGTACTGGTCCACACTTAACCAGTTCCAGCAGTGACAATGTTTTTTCTGGAGACTTGCAGTTGCTGTCGCCTTATCCCAGGCGTATATCTGACTCCTGCTCAGCACATGCCACCTATTCAATTATCAAAAGTGATGAGAGATCCAGCAACCCATGGATGCCAGTATACCCCATGGAGAACTGTTCTCCACCCTACTTCAGATCTAGAGAGGCTAATACCCAGAATAAACTGTGTGCTTTATCAAATATTGAATATAAAGACATGCCTCGTGAACAGAAGTATCTTACCTCAAGTCCAAATTTATATTTCTTCACATCTGATAAAAGGCCAGAAAGTGCTGTGATCCAATCTCCTGTGCCAAAGAGATTATCTTTGAGTGAAAGAGGTAAAAATACTGGAAAAAAACCCCTCCCAATTCAAAATTGTAGACATCTGAACATTCAGCCTACATGGATGACATTTATTTACTACTTGAACTAGTAGCAATACGTTTTGGAATCACTCAAGTCTAATAAGACTGCAAAAAGAGCTGAGTAACACCTTAAATTTTCTCTAAAAAAACTTATTTTGAATGTAAAAAGCGAGGAAGTAACCTGTCAAGTCAAACTTTTTCGAATTTGACAATTCCTTTTTGTGGATAAGAGATTTGGCTATTAATTTAGTCTGCCTTTAATATAAAAAGATCTATGCATTTGGGTATGTTTTTTGTGGTGGTGGATTTTTTTAAGGATTTTTTTCTTGAAAACATAATCTGACTCTGATGATTTCGCTATATTCTATCTGGAGGGGGAGGGAAGAAATAGCTGGCCTTTTAAAATATTCTAATATGTTTTAATATGTCCACTTCATGTGAAAGAACAACCAGAGTTCCTAAACCTGCATATGTAGAAGTAGATGCATGAGCTGGTTCCCCTCAACGTGGAGGGTCCAGCTATGAACACTTCCTGGCATTATCTGGTAGTAAAGGCTCTGGTTCTATTTGGGGGAGGAGGCAAGGTTTGGTTAGGTTTGGGTTTTTTAGTCACCCTGGAAGGAAAAGAAGTGTGTCATTCAAGCTGTGGTGTGCTATTACAAACCTAATGTTGTAGTTAGAAGCTGTGGTGTGTGAAAGTTACTATGAGCAAATAAAGATGGACAATAACAAACTTATTCTTTGTAGGATGGAAGCAGTCGCTGGGGCACAAAGCTGACAAAATGTATGATGTGAGCTTGATCTGTGAAGAAGACTTACTCACCACTATCTTCTGTGCATGTGACGTAGAGCATACAGGTTTGCCAGTGGCTTTTCGTTGCCCTATTTTATTCCCCTCTCAACAAATTTTCAAGGTTGAGATCATGTTGCGATTCCTGAGACTAATAGCTAGTTTCCGAATCCATAATATGCTTAGACTGACTAGCTCCCTTAGCTGGGTGGCTCTGTGTGTGGCAGATGCAGAATAAACATCTGTGCCTCTTGCATGGTGCCTGTCTCTTCTCTCCTCCCTGCCCCAGCTGATCTCCACTGTATGTTAGGAAAACAGAGGAAGCAGAGGAGCAGCATGCTTCTAACAATCAACCTCATTGGAAATTACTATTTCTTTTAGGTTTTTTCCTCTTAGAAATTGAGACTTTTGGGAAACATCAGAGCAAGAGATAATTCTTCTGAGTTCCACCTCAAACATGACTAGAAGTGGTAGAAAAAAGGAGCAGTCCAGCAGAATACAATAATGGTAGTCACAGGGTTTGCTCAATTTGACGAGAGGCCTGAAAGTGGTAGCATAGCAAATGTGGTGAGATTGAAAGTCCAGTTTACTGGTTTGACAGACTTCAGTTTGAAAAGAACATACTTCTGTGTTAGAAAAAACAAACAAAAGGTCTAAACCGTTCCTTTCCAGGTCACATTAGAACTGCAGGGGCCAGTGGCTTGTCTACAGCTTTTGAGGGCAATCAAATATGTCCTAGTGCAGATCAGTAGTGTGCCCTTTCACAGCTTTTTATGGTGGCCTACTAGATATCAGCCTGGTGTGTGGAAACCTGTATCTGTTTTAGGAAAAGTAGCTGTTTCCAAGATCGTTGATTATCTCAGACACACAACTAGTTTTACATGCTTGACCCAGATCAGAAAGATGTCTCTGTGGACCTGGAAACATATCATGCCATCATGAGAGAGTGGATTGAAGACTGTAAGAGAAAATGGTAATTACGTTTTATCAATTTGTGTCATAAAAGCTTATGTGAAAACAGGAGAGTAGAAAGTTGTTCTGTGGCTTGTGCTTTCTATACTCTGGAACAAAGATGGTGTCAGGACACTGTGACCACAGTGTGGGTTTTGGCTGACAGCTTTTGAATGTTACAAAGTTGGTAAGCAATCCAGCGTCATACTGATTTTGTGGTTCTTGATGCTTCCTTGTTTCAGGGAAGATGGTGCCCCCGAGGAACCAACAGCAAGCATGGAAGACGTGGAATTTAAAGTGCCTAAAAACACCCCTGAAGGTGCAGACCCCTTTATTCTCTTTTTATTTGGGAAAACTCCACTCTCTTACTCTATAACCAAAATCCCCACCTTTTTCAGCGAAAAAGACGCATGTCCGGATGAATGTTACATCAGGAAGTTTGGAGGCCTTTGGGGGTGATGTGTCTAAAGGAGACATGTAAGTCCATTTAAGCAGTTCTTTCTCAGAATTTAGTACTCCTAGGTTTGAAATACTTGAGAGCAGTTCCTAGAACCGCTGTTTCAGACAACTATCTTGGCAGAGTTTCTAATGCTGACCTCAGTCTGCACTAGCTGTTGATGCTATCATGTTCTTTCTCACAGCTTCTGCTCAGACTTAAAAACACACTAGTAATTTTTCCTACTGATATGTTGGTCCTTCTGTGTCCATTTGCCTTTTTAATTTCCTGTGGTCAGAGTTTTGCTATGTGTTTCTTTTCCTTTTTAAACTGGTTCCTTCCCTCCCCCAAGTTCTTCAGTTATGACAATAGAAGACATTATCTTCTGAAAATCTGGTCTTTGGTTTTGTTTGGATTTTTACATTTTTTTTTTATAGTCATGACTCTGACTTGGATTCTGTTAATAGCAAATCACATAACAAACATGAGAAGTTTCAAAGATAATTTTTGCATTTTATGCATAGTCAAAAATCTAAAGATCTGCTTTCTGGTGCTTCCCTATTGTTTCTCAGGATCTCAAAAGGGTGATCCTTGTTCAAGTTGTAGTTGAAAGCGTAAGCGGGGGATGTTTTAGGGGAAAAGAAAGGATGCAGAAATTGCGGAGCTAATACAAAAGTATTAGTGGTGGCCTAAGAGGCAATTAGCAAAGGCTTAAGATACTGTCATGCAGACATCTAGGTGTGGCATTTGTCTGGTGGCATACTTTAATTGCAGAGAGCGTACGAAGTGTTTCAAACAGTTCCTCTGACTGTACGCAGCAGTGTTACAAATCCTCTGTGGGCTCTCCTCTCACCTCTCTAATCAGTCCAGCACAACATCAGAATTTTTAAAAAGTCTAAATTAGATCCAATCACATTTTTCAGTCTTTCCTGGCTTTGTTACTGGAACAGGGAGACTTCTGACTTGATAACCTGTGTTGCGGACCTACAGTACAACAACCAGAAGCTTCAGGAAGAGAACAACAAGCTAAAGATCACACTGGAAGCTGTAGATGAGACCAACAACAAGCTATTGGCAGATAATGAGAATCTACGTCAACAAATAAAAAGGTGGGAGACCCTGATGGCACCAGGTTTACAGTGTAATGGACATTGGCAGACCTATCTGCTTCAAAGTGGTCCACCCTTGCTTTCTGCTTTTAGCCTCACCAGTGCTTCATGGCAGCAACTTTCTTGACTTAATGTAGTATCTGTAAGGTTGAACGCTCTTGCCCAATTGCTCTGCTCCATACCTCCTGGTTCTTATAAAATCAGTCATTCATCTTACAGCCTGGCTCTTGCAGCATGAGGTGCTGTGGGTGCACACAGGCAAAATGTCAGGGTAAAGTGAAATCAAACAAAGCAAATTACCAAAGGAAAAAAAAAAGGCTTAATGTTACCAAAAGAGCAGCCAAGCACTGGAAGGTTCCAATCCTAGACCGCACGCTTGCTGCCAAGCAGAAGGGAAATGAGCATGTAAGACCTATTTTTCTAGTCCCTTGAGGAACGAAAGTGAGTGGTCTCTAGCTTAGTATTGCTGCAGTCTGGGGACACATCAGTACCACGAATATGACTCTTTCTTTACAGTGAGTTCATAATGCTTATCTGTTGTAATTAATTCCAATGTGATACAGTTATGTCAACTACCAAGCCACTCCCAGTATTTTCTGGGGATATTAAGGCAAGAGTCCTGCAGCGTAGCTGGCACAGGACATGTGCCCTCATGTTGGACCATGTGCTCTGGGGTGCTCTGCAGCCTAGAGCTAGCCAGGAAAAGGGCCTTGCCCCCATTCAGTAAATATATGATGTTTGGGTTATCAGATCTGGACAAGAAAATGATGCAGAGCTTATCCTTGAAAACTGAACTGAAATTGTTTACTTAACTGCTAACAATGAAATACTGTGAAGATGAGTGCTCAGGTAGCCTGATAGATTTGACTGTAACAAGCTAGATTGTTAGGTGGATGCAAAGAAAAGCATACTGTCTTGGATAATAGGTTTGCCTGGGGTTTCATCCCTTACTAGGGCAGTGGAAGGAGGTGATAAACAGAGGGTAAGTCCATGAGCCTTTTCTTACTGGACAAAAATGATGGACTTGAACTTGATTGTTGATCTTCTGTCTCTTCTGTTAAGTATCTGTGCCAAAGAATAAGTCCCTGGTGGCTTCTAAAAATACTGTTCTTGGTATTTCAAGCCTCTCTAACGACCAACAGTAACTCACTAAGTTTCCCTGGATTTACTTCCCGCAACACAGCATCCAGCATTCTGTGCTGAAAGCCAGATCACTGGAAGAACAACTAGAAGAAGCAAAAAACAACCTGAACCTGTCAGAAGAGAAGAGACAACAGATTCTGTGCCAGAATAAACAGCTAGTAGGTGCTCTTATTTCTTGGCTTACATCGTACAGCATCTTATACCTTGCTGTAACAATAGCATGACCACTTACACTGTAAAAATCAGCAGTATGACCTTCACTGTACCAGTAGGTACTGAAGCTTTTTGAGGATGTTTGAAATGTGATTTATTAGTGTTACAAAAATGCTGTGAAGTTCTTGCGTGGAAGTTTCTTTAAACTGCTGTCAGTAATAATAAAGAAAATAATTAAAAGGGCCTGTCTTGCATATAATTATGCTTAAAGACAACAGCTCTCATGCTGCCATTATTGAGCCCTGTCTGTTTTCAAGTTGGTGATGTCCTGCCAGAAATTCACTTGACTTTTCTAGAACCAGCAGGGACAGGAGACTTGGCTCAGATGTCCACACAAAAGAGTCATTTTCCAAAACACCCCTAGGTTATTGTCAATGTCCATATGGGCTGGCAGATGACAAAGGCCTATCAGAAACCTGTCCATTCTGGACTGATAGCTGAAAGCCAGTCAGCACACCTTGGTGTGTCTCAAAGGGCACGAGCTGCCTGCATGAGAGCATCTGAATTGCAACCCAGGTGTCTGAGTAGCAAAGCCTGTGTGACTGTAAGCAGTGTAAAGCAGCCTGGTAACAAGGCTGATGTGTCTGCAGCTTTAGCAGGTGTTGCCTGACACCAGAGCATGTTTGCGTCGCCGCTATGCGTGTTCACACTGCAGTGGCATCTCTGCGTCTTGCTATGTGGGCATAGCTGTGAACTGGTGTTCCTTAGCTCTATGCGCTGCTGATGCTGGGTATTTAGAAATCAAAAAAAGTCTTCTGTGCTGAGCAAGAACACAAGATTTTTTTGGTGCTATCCTGCTGCAGTGTGCATGTATTTTTGTTTTAATTTCAGATTACATACATATTTTCATATAATTTTTACATTTCAGATTACATACATAATTTGCCTTGTGAGAAGGAGATGGGGTGGGAGAAATATTATTGGAAGTTTTGTAGTTGTGCTTGTAAGTCCCTGAGTTACTGTTCGCTGTGCACTGGAGGCATGAGTGGAATACTACTATCTTTCTTCACGTCCAATGTGAAAAAGTGTAGTGTGGCACATAAAGCTTTCCAGATTTGTCTTAACTCTAGCATGAGCACAACTAGACTTGCTCACTCTGGCCTTGAATACCTCCTTCCTGTCATCTCGTGGTCAGAGTTGTACTCCGATTTGAAATGCCTGTGCCAAGCCCTTCAGTTAGGGTTGATGAACTTGGACCAGCCTCAGCATGCTCCTTTTTGCTGTGCTCTCTGAAGCAAAGGAATGCAACGCTACAGCTTCATATTGGACCCTGGATGTGTTTGTGTCTGTTGCTTTTTGGCTTAGTTTGGCTTTGAATGTTGAACTTCACATACTAAAAACAACCATTTTGGTTTTCTCGCCCCCCCCCCCCCCCTTTTTTTTATCTCATCATCAAAATTACTTCTCTCCAGGAAGAGGTAAAATAAATAATGACTTTGCAAGTACATGTTCTTTGCTAGTTAAAAGCTCACCATTAAGAAATTAAATGTTTGTCAGACTTTGAAGCCTGACATGCTAATTAGATTATCAATATATTTTATCTTTTACAAGGATGACTTATCATAAAACATTTAGATCTTGAAGTTGCACTGTGTTTCAGACTTTCCATTTGCTGGGTAAGCAAGGATACGAAGTTGGAGAAGCATGGTGAACAGGCACAAACAGCTTTTTTCCCTCTCTTTTGAAAGCATTATAGACAAATACAAAAGATTTCTGGTAATAACAGCTATAAATATACTAATTCTATACTGAAACAATCTCCATCTAACATTTTTTTATTTGATTTTCACTTATGTTTCCCTCCTTTAAGTTCCAAAGGAGGAGCCCTGTATAGAGCTCCAAAAAAACCCAGTGGCTGTGGGCTCCGCTCACAGGTGGATCCATTGACCTAGAGGAGGCTTGTAGGGAATATACTGCTAACAGATCTGTATTTCTAAGCACCTTTTTTTTTTTTTTTACAGAGGAGAGCTCTTCATTCTTACTTTGTTTCATTTATTTCATTAAAGTAAATATTTTATGAAACAGTTTTTATCAGGTGATAAAATGTTTTAAAAATTGCTTACAGCCTGTATTTTAGACTATTTAGGATGAAATAGGGAAACAGGCTAAATATACATAGTAATGAAAAGAAGCACCTCATGGATTCAGGAATCTATTATCATAGCATGGCAGTCATTGTTCTTCGCATGTTTACTGTGCTCAAGATTAGTCTTTCCGAAAAGCTTGTAAATCCAAATAACTATTAAACTGCATCTTTCAAAAACTAATTCTCATGATGCAGGCCTGAATGCTTTTCTCTAGCTTTCTAGGTCTGGTAGTGCTTATAAATCACGTTTTGAGGTTTTCTTTTTTAACAGTGCTGTGGAGAAACAGTTTCAGTGGGGCAAGCACATAGAATGTATGTGCATAAATGCTGGTAGTGTTTTACAGAAGGCAGTAGCTTGGGGGTGGAGATGTCATTTTGCCTAGTTTCTTCAAGGAGCAGCTGTCAATCTATTCAGATGTGCCTAAACACTCTGTATCTTGCTCAGAATATTAAGAATAGCATGGACATCGATGGACTTCAAAAGAAGATTTTGGAGCTGTCTAAAAATGCAGCAGAGCTTCAAGTAAGCATCTCAACTCTGCGAGAAACCAAAAGACAGCCTATAGTTTACTCGGGGTCTAGTGAGGGGAGTTTCTGCCTCTGTAAGGTAGACAGCCCTGGACCTGTCTTTATTAAAGAACTGCAGTACAATCATAGCTTGGACAGTGCAACAGCTTTGACTAAGAAAGTTGCTGTCTGGAGGCTAAAAAGTGGCCTAATAGAAATAATCCACAATTTCATTCTTTTTTCTAAGCTAAACTTGTAGGAAACCTTTTCCCCACAATTTGAGAAAATATGTTAGAAAGTCATGCTCTGGCTGATGTTGCTGAAACTGTCAGCCTGGACAGACAAGAGGAAACAAAGGTGACTGAAAGCTGAGAACGCTTTCACTTTAACTGGGTGCAAGATGAAGAATTTGATTTTTTTTTTTTTTTTTTTTTTTTCCTAAGCAAGAAATCTTGACACCCTTTTTCCCTTCCAGCTAAGAGATAGGAGCAGACTTGTATTATAGTGAAAACTGACGGCTGGAATTATTTTTGATCTTTTCATTCTTTAGATCCAAGCACACATCTGTGAGACCACTGTGGTGAATAAAGAGGCAAGCTTGATCCAGGTTAGTTGCTTTTGCTTCACTACTGTCTGGACTGAAAATACTGACTATAGGATGACTTGTAAAAAATCAAGGCAATTATCTTCACTGTGGCACTTTTGTTCCTACTGTTCCCACACTACAGAACCTGATCCTATAAATGGCTTCAAAGTAGGCGAGATCTGCTTTAGGACCTGGTTATGAGTCAGCATAATTAAAGGTTTCAGGATTTTGCTTTTATTTGAAAAAAATTAAGAAAAACACCAAAACCCACAACCTATTAAAATAAAACAAACTTGCAAACTTCAGAAAAATGTACAGAAACTTCTAAAGGTTACTTCCTTCAACAGTTGGTAGAAGAATATACCTGCATAAAATCCTTCCCTTCGTGTCTTTAATTGCTTAATTTTTCTGTCAAACTAGAAATTGTGATTTAGAGTCCAATGGAAAAGCAGATTTGTCCTTTCT